AAGTTGCGAAAGAGTTGTGAACCTGTATTTTAAAGTCTAAATGTGAACTCAGGCTTGTTGCGAGGCATGTTGACAAAAACAATGAAAATGTAAATGGCCTTTTGAGAATGGATGAAGAGAAGTCATTAGATTCACTGTCAGGTTTTTGTTTTCTATGTAACATTTATAGACGCTGATTTGTTCACACTCCTGCTGTGAACAAGATAACTGTAAATGAATGTGATGAACTGCATGTGTGTGAGAGAGAGACTTTTCACGTTTTGCTTCTCAATGCATTTAGCTTTCAAATTGACTATTTTTATCTTGACATGTCAGTAGGAAGGAATTTAGGATGTTAAAATTTGTATTGCCATTAAAACAGTGGTGGATGAAGTATTCAGAACCTTTACTTAAGTAAAAGACCTAATACCTTACTGTAAAAATACCCTGTTATCAGTAAAAGTATGTAAGTATAATCAGGAAATTGCACTTAAACTATTAAAAGTAAAAGTACTCAAAGTAAAATGTCCCCTCTGACTGTTATAGTATTATATATAGTATTATTATTATTACTCATGCATTAATGTAAAAGTAGTATTTTAGTAGTTGTTTGAGGTTGAACTATTTTGTATCAGGCTGCAATTAATGATTATTTTCATTCTCGATTAATCAGCTGTTTATTTTCTCCAATAATCGATCGTAAAAATTCTAAAAATTGTGATAAATGCTGTCACAATTGCCCAGAGCCCAAAGTGACACCTTCGTAATGTTTGTTTTGTTAGTGTGAACCTCAAAATGATTAAAAAAGACATTATGCAGCAAATCTTCACATCTGTGAACCACAAAATGTTCGCTTGTTTGTTTTCATATGTTTTGTGTGTAAAAATCTTACTTTGTAAAGTAACTGAAGCTGTCAGATAAATGTAGTGAAGTAAAAAGTACAATATTTCCCTGTGAGTGGTGGTGGAGTAGAAGTAGAAAATACATAATATAAGTAATAAACACTTCTAATTTGTAATTAAGTGCAGTACTTGAGTAAATGTTCTTAGTTACTGTCCATCACTGGTAGGAAGGATTTCAGGATGTTTTCAGCAGTGATGGACTGTGGCTCATTTACTCAACTAGCGTATTAAAGTAAAATTTTTATTGCCATTAAATGCTACTTTAAATTCTTACTCCACTGCATCTTTTACCAACTTTGTTACTTGTTACTTTATATATTAAGATTTTACCAACATAAATACAAAACAAAATATGAAATATAATAATCTGAACTGCAACACAAAAATGTTACTTACACATTAAAGTGTGTAATTCTGATGCAATAATAGAAAAATATAGTAAAATAAATGATAACATAACACGCTTTTGATACTAAGCACACATTGCTGATAATACTTCTTTATTTGCAATATTTTTACAGCTACTTTTTACAGATACAGCTACTTTGCTTAAAGCAGTAACTTAAAGGGTATTTTTCAGCCTGGACCCCGTTTCCGCATGTTTTTGTGTGTATGTGATTTGTTGGGACAACATTTTGTGAAATTGGTCCAGTATTGAGCAATCGTGCTGCAGTTACTGCAACATAATCCTTGCGGGCAATTGCACCACATTAAAGTATAATAATTTCACCTCTCTGATCCTTGCAGTCCCGATCAATTAGTTTGTTTGTGCAATTGTGTGACTTTGCTGTCTTTAAGCCTTTAAAAACACCAAATTCACACAATAACAGCAATTAGCAACTGCTGTGTTCGGTGGGGTAAAGTTTTATCAATGGAGTCTGGTGGCTTTGATGAGAGCAGCATAGTGGCTGTTTCCGATTAAACAAAAATGATCTTGCTCTTTAAAAAAAAGTCTATCTCTGTAGGGATCCTTTCCACAATGTTGTCAGACACTTATAATAACTGTTAGCTGGCAAACTAACTGCTGGCAAAAATAAGCACTTTAGTGGTACATTGATGGGCACAATTGTTCACAATGATTATATTGTAGCCCTGTTTCCTGACTGCAGTGCACTCACTCAATAATGGATAAGAAAGCAGCATTTAGATTTACATAATTTGGTCTCAGAGGGAGATTTGTTTTCACAGCCAGTTCAACATTGAAACACAGCAATAAACTGATAAAGACAATACACAGACTCTCTGTGAATACATTCATATCACAGTATAGTTTAATGCTAAAAAACTCCTGCTGAAACGAGCTCTCCTCCATTTTAAGGTCCTGTATCTCCATCCCGATGGCAGTGTTGTGAAGTGATGAATGAGGATGTGATTGCTATAGGTGTGTAATGCCTCTGTCGTTCATGTCTGAGAGTTTGGGTGTGGGCAGGTAAGTTGTTTTAGAGGCAGTGTGTGTGATGCTGGTAGGTTTGTTTTTGTTGGAGATGGTTAACGGTCTGTAAATCCAACAAAAAATCCTGCGAACAAACAGCTTTGTCTCCGTCTCTGCTTTAGGTGGAGCAAGAACACTATTAAAGTAGGTCTCTAATGAGATTAGCTTCTCTGCTAAACCCCTCCCACTCCAACTTATAGTTAAATCACCAACACTGAGCAAATTACTAGATACAAATGGGGTCAAGTTAAAAGTCCTGTTTTACGTCACAAACCCGCTAAACACAGACAAGAAGAAGAGTAAGTTTATAGACAAATGACCAACCCTGTAAGGAAGAAAAAAGGTCACAACCTTTTCTTTCTTGTCCTAAATTATGTAAACGTTTTAATACTGCACTTTAGCACATAACATCTGGCACGCTAACAGTGTGTACAGTTAGAAAACGAGTTTCACTCACAGTTAACTGAGCTTGAGCTTCTCTCAGAGCTGCAGGGGTTGAATGTGGTTGAATAAGGCCGCCTGTGGTGTGTTTTCCTTGTGTTACAGTGCCGACGTGGACGGATTAGGAGACAACAGTCCGCTGGGCGCAGACATGTGAAAGTCTGTCTGTGCAGAGATAAAATACACTTATGTGCTTTCTTGCTGAGAGTTAGATGAAAAGATCAATAGTTAGCTGTTTATGCACTAGGCTGGCTCAATTGTATAAATGTGCACAAAAATGATAACTAGATGTTTACCAAGAAGTTTTGCGTTGGCCAGAACGAGCTGCCAGGCAACCATCAGAGACTCACAGGAAGTTGCTCTTCATTTAGAGGTGCTGCCTGGAGGATTTTTGTTGCCCTTGGACGGAGTCAGACTGACTGTATCCCTCTGTTTACAAACTTTATGCTAAGCTAGTGTTTATCAGCTCTATCACCGGTCAGAAGAGGAGTTGAGAGATTCAGCAGATTGTTGGCACTGAACACGTGGCTCTCAGCTGCATGTGGTGCATAAGAAAGGACGCGGAGTTGTCATTTTGTTTAATGATTCCCTCTAATGCAAGAAGATGTCTTATATAAATGTTTTTTCTTTTAAATATGTGGCTCTTCCGTTGAATCCCTCTTCTCGAGCTGCACTATATGGACAAAAGTACTGGGACACCTACACATCACTTTTATGACATCCCATCGCAATCTCCGTTCTAGTTCATCCCAAAGGTGTTGGATGAGGTTGAGGTCAGGGTTCTGTCAAGGTCTTTCACACCAAACTGGCAAAACTATTTCTTTATGGAGCTGGCTTTGTGCACGTGGTCATATTGAAACAAGGAAAGTCCAAACTGTTGGAAGAGCAAATGTTTAAAATTTCAGCTGCATTAGCATTAAGATTTCCTGTAACAAAGACCACAACATGAAAGAACAAACCCCCTACCAAATGCATTGGATCAAGGGTGTCCCGGTACTTACAGTGTATAGTGCAACCTTTTTTAATGACTTTGCTGCAGTCTACAATCTGTATTGACTTTGACTGTGAAGTTATTGCAAGAGAGAGGGACTGACTCAGCATGTGACTGAGCCCACACACAATAAGGGGCACACTCTGGACTTAATCATCGCCAAGTGCCTGAACATTTTCAAGGTTGTGGTGATGGATGCTGCTCGCTCTCTTCATTCCTGTGTTTTCTTTGAGAGTGCATACAAAATGTTCAAAGAGAGGTGAAAACTAAACGGTATCTCACTGAAAAACACCAGTTACGTGTTTATTCAGGCTTTGTCCTCCACACTCGCCCTCTCTTGGGTCTCAGTCAATGCAGATAATAAAAATTCTAAAATGACAAATGTTATTTATGCCATTGTGCACACTGGGGTGAAGGCAACCTTTGGTAAGAAAAGATCTCCATGGAGAAGAACAGGAAAAAGAACGCAGGTGGCGAAAAACAAATCTCCAGGTTCATTATGACATCTAGAAGCAAGATATCGCATGGCGGCCCTTCTTCTCTGACATTCTTGCCAAAAACAATAATAATGCATGTGCCTTGTTTGTTACTGTCTACAGGTTAACAAACCCTCCTGTGCCAGTAGCCTCTGAACTTCTATCCCACCAGGGCTTGCAATGAATTTGCCTCCTTTTTCACTGACAAAATTCAAATAATTAGACAAGCAATCAGTGCCTTCACATCAAGTACAAGATGTTGTCCCTGTGTCCACTTAAAATCAACTCAAATAGCATGACTCAATTTGACAACTGGCCCTGAAAACTGCAGTCATTAAGCTACTCTTAAAAAAGAACAATTTAGACACATCACTAATGAACATTTATAAGCCTATATAAATAAAATGCTGTTGGCCAACAGCTGAACAACTTCTTGACAGTAAACATCTGTTTTGATGTCTTCAAGTCAGGATGACGATCACACCACAGCACTGAGACTGCTATTGTTGAGGTCTGCATATAGTTAGTCTTGCCAGGATAAATAAAGTTGTATTGAAAATTGAAATTGAGGATCTGAGAGTTTCTGATCTTCAGAGCTGAGGCTCCTCCCGGTGGTCAGATGTGAAAGCTACACAGAGAGTCTGTGTGCGCTCAGTGTTAGTGAGGAGCATCTCTGCATGGAAACATAACATATGAGCTTCATGATACTGTGAGCTTGTTGTTCCCACACAGACAAGATGGGGGGGGGGGGGGGGGTACAGCAGTGTGTATGTAAGTGTGTGAGTACTTAGTGCAATGTATGACCGCCTGGTGTGTGCACAGCAGTGCTTTGTCCACATGTGCAGCCATTATGTGTCCCAGTTTGTGCCAGTGTAACTTTCTGTCATTGTTACTGTGTGAAGGATCAGACAGGATGGAGAGGGAAAACATTTTAGACCCGTTAATTTGTGTTTATAATTGTTTTGTTGACCAGAAAAATGCTGTTTCCTCTCTGAACACAAATATAGAAACAAGTGTGTTAAAGGATAAGGCTTCTTATTGTCAGAAAAAATAAGACAAAAAACATCAACATCTCCGTCTCTCAGTACTTTCTCAGACTTCTGTCAAGCACATTGGTTCCTATTGAAGATGTTAAAATGACCTCAAAAATATAAATAAGGCCCCATGCTGACCCCTGTCCGCTGCCGAAAGCACCTATAATGGGCATGTGAGCATCAGAATTGGACCACAGAGCAGAAGAAGGTGGCCTGGTCTGATGGATTACGTTTTCTTTTAGATCACGTGGATGGCCGGGTGCATGTGCATCACATGTGCCAGCGGAGTCTGTGTGATGCTGGGAAACTTTGGGTCCTGCCATTCATGTGGATGTTACTTTGACACATACCACCTACCTAAGCATTGTTACACACCATGTTATTCACTCTTTCATGGAAACAGTATTCCCTGATGGCAGTGGCTTCGTTCAGCAGGATAATGCGCCCTGCCGCAAAGCAAAACAGGTTCAGGAATGTTTTGAGAGACACAACAACATGTTAAAAGGTGTTGACTTGGCCTCCAAATTCGCCAAATCTCAATCCAATTGGGCATCTGTGGATTTGCTGGACAAACAAGTCCGATCCATGGAGGCCCCACCTCGCAACATACAGGACACAGCACACCTTCAGAGGTCTAGTGGAGTTCAGGCCTCGACGGATCAGGGCTGCACATAACATGGCTGAAAAAGGGGGACCTATACAATATTAGGCAGGTGGTCATAATGTTAAGGCTGATTGGTGTAGCTGTTGTGTGCATCATGTGGCCAAAAATCTATCTTGACATATTCGATATCTGTAGGTTTGAATAGTCTTTGTCTATACTGTAACTATAACTGTACCAATGTGTATATTCATGTATTTGTGTCTACATATGTATTGTATGTACTGTATGTGTACATTTTACATCAACAAACAGAGTAATCCAACAACTAACCTGAAGAGTATTTGTCCATGTGAGAAAAGTGTCCAGCTGCAAACATTCCTCTGCTGAATTCCTCCCAGCATGCATCAGGGCCATCAATACAGAATGACCCGTCCAGCTAAAACAGATGCAAGTATTTTAGTAGGAGGCTGCGAGTCCTCTGCTGGCAGGCGCTTGATGCAATATGTGCCCGTAAGATGAAGTCACAAACATTGCAACTGTAGTCGACTCCCACTCGCCGGGCAGCACAGACGGGGCATTATGTGGACGAGTACCAGCTGGTACCACGGGCTCCTCATCCTCCTCGGGACTTCATTTGTTGGTGCCTCTGAAATCAGGACATGGAACTGAAATGGAAGAGCAAACCTGTGAATGTTTTCCTCGGATGCATCGTTGCCGTCTGCTTTTGTACGGTTTGTCCGGCTCAAAGAAGTGAGTAGAGCTCTGATTTCTGCTGTTGAGGGCGTCTTCTGTCGCTGGCGTGGGCAACGGGGAGATATGGATGTTGATGAAGCTGCAGAGTGAGAGAGACAGTTGATGTTTTCTTTCCTTCCTTAAAAGCAGTGGTTCCCAACCTACTTGTGAAGAGGGATTTTTCTTTTTCTGAAGGATTTTTAGAGGTCAAAGAATCCAGTATTTCACAGGGGGAAAAAAAGCAGAAATTAGACAAAAGTCAGAAAAAAATTTTACTCTGTGCAACTTGGGCCCATTGGGGTTCCTGACCTCCAGATTGAGAACCACTACTAAAAAGGACAGAAAATACAGAAAAAACTGTAACTGTTTGAAAGCGTTAATGTTTGAGTATTTTCAGTACACCATAAGAAAAGCCCTCAGTACACTGTGTCAACATGTAGGCAGACATATGACACAATAAATAATTAATAACATTAGAATTTCATTATAAACTAGGTTTAGATTAGGTGTTTGCGCAGTTTAAACAACAATATATAACGTGTTAATTAGTGAGCTTTAGAGGTGCTAGTAGGCGGACTTTGTTACCACTAGCTGTTTCCTGTGTTTATGCTAAGCAAAGCTAACGGGCTGCTTGTGGTAGCTTTGTATTCACCGCACAGGCATGACGATCTTCTTCACTCTCAGAAAGTGTATTTCTCAAAATGTTGAACTATTCCTTTAAAGTACATCATCAAGTCAGGCAGGATTATTATAGAATATTTTTGGCCCTAAAATGTAGAGGGGCCCTGTGTCCAAGTCTAGTAATAAAACATTCACGATTTTAGTTTATAGTCTCACGTGGTATTCTGGGCTGCTGCGTGTACACACAATGATAATGGGGTGGGAGAGCGGGGATCCGGTTCATGCAACTGTGGAAGTACTGCATCTATATACTTTATACAGCCTAATATACTCAGTTTTAAGGTATAATGTTTTAATGTTGTGGCATGAAGAGTTTAGGATATAAACGTAGATGTTATACACATGTATTTGTGTGTGTGTGTGTGTGTGTGTGTGTAATAGGCAGTGGTGGAGGAAATATTCGTCCTTTACTTAAGTAAGAGTACTATTAACACACTGCATTGAAAATGTTTCTTAAGTAAAAGAATATGTACTTAAAGTATTAAAGGTAAAAGTACTCGGTGCAGTAAAATGTCCCCTGTGACTGTTACACTATATATTCTATCGTCAGATTATTATTCCTCGTGCGTTCATGTAAAAGCAGGATTTTACTTTTGTAGTTGTTTAGCTGGAGCTAATTTTTGATTATTGAATGATTACCTTCATTATGGATTAATATGCTGATCTTTGCAATGCTTGCTGTGTCCAAACCTCAACATTATTAACAAACGTTACAGTTATTTAAAGGAAAAACGGCAAATCTTCACACGTGAGAAGCTGAAACCATGAAACGTTTTTACAGGGAAAATTACTTTATTTTCTGTCAATTGACTAATTGATTAATCGTTTCAGCTGTACTTGGACATTGTCATATGTTTTGTGTGCAAAAAAACATATTTGTAAAGTAACTAGTTACTAAAGGTGTCGGATTAAATGTAGTGAAGTAAAATTTATAATATTTCCTTCTGAGATTGGTGGGGTAGAAATAGAAAGAGGCATGAAAATAATATACTCAAAAGTACCTTTGTACTTAAGTACAGTACTTGAGTAAATGTAGTTTCCCAAAGTCAACACACTTGGTAATAATCATCCCTGCATGTTCTGTAGTTCTTTATCTCTTTAGTTCCTGTTTTTTCTTCACACAAATCTTCAACACATTTGATCAGGATCTTGTGAGGGGCCTGATGCTGACTATTACTCTCACCTCTCTCAGTTTGCACGGTTCCTCCGGGCCCCGTGACGGTCCCAGAAAACTACACGGCTGACGTCCAGCTGGTAAAAATCAGCTCCAGCAGTGACGTAATACTTACGGTCTCGGTGAACCCCGAAGATCTGTTCTACCTGAAAGGAAACGCCCTGATGGTGAAGAAAGGACTGGACTATGAGGTGATTATTGTGAAACTGAAACTGGATATGTGAGAGTTTAAAACTGATATTGTAATGGTGATATTGATTTGATTTGAAATATATACCAATACTCTTTTAGTTAAGAATACATTTTTTTCCTGCAATACAGTTTAATTACATGTAATATAAATACACCGACCAGCCATAACATTATGACCACCAACAGGTGATATGAATAACACTGATTATATCATTAATGGCACCTGTCAGTTGCTGGGATATATTGGGCAGCAGGTGAACATTGTGTCCTCGTAGCTGAAGGGTAGGTGAGTGAGTTTGACGTGGACCAAACTGTTATGGCTAGACGACTGGGTCAGAGCATCTCCAAAACAGTCTGCTGTGGTGAGTACTTTTCAAATGTGGTCAAATGAAGGACAAACTGGTGAACCAGTGACATGGTCATAGGCGGCCAAGGCTCACTGATGCATGTGGAGAGCAAAAGCTGGCCCGTGTGGTCCGACCCAACAGATGAGCTACTGTAGGTCAAATTGCTGAAGAAGTTGATGCTGGTTCTGATAACGCACAGAGCATACACAGTGGGGTCCAGGTCTCGACGGGTCGGGGCTGTTTTGGCAGCAAAAGGGAGACCTACATTATGAGCAGGTGTTCTTAATGTTATGGCTGAGTGGTGTAATGTCCTAGCATGAAAAATGGAGGTTATCATTTGTTTTCAAGGTGCAGTTTTGGACACACAGTGGCTCAGGATGAACGACATGTAGTTCAGATTTGTTACAGATCTATGTCTATCTATGTATCTTGTTAAGATTTACTTGCATCATCATAAACTGAAGACACGTTGACGCCCTGTGGTGTGGGACCTGTATAGCCAGGATGTAACAACATGAAGATTGTTGTATTAAATATATCATAGTGTAACTTTAAAATGAACTAAATCAAATTTCAGCATGAATATATTTCATCATTAATTTTAAATCCGGGAAAATGTAACTTCCCACAAGAAAAGTCTTTGAACGTTAATTTACAACATTATGGCAACTTAATTATTATCAGTGCTGGTGTTTAAATTAGATTAATGTCTTTTATGTAATGTCTGTGTTTTGTTAGTCATTGTCCAGTGCAGCTCTGGTGGTGTGGGTGCAGTGCAGCAGAGCAGGCTCCAGATCTGTAAGTACAACAAGTCACATCAAACACAATATCACAAAGAAGCCAAGAATGGATTGTAAACACATTCACAAGCTCAAGACTCTGTATTTCACTTAATTCATGATGTAGACTCTTGCACAATTAAAACCACTATTTCAAAATCTGTGTCTGATTACAAACTGAGCTGATCCGGTCGCTGCTTCGCTGTGTTCCAGGTGAACGAGTCTGTTGAGGTTTTGGTTGAAAATGTGAACGATAACCCCCGAACTTTGCACAAAACCACTTCGTACTAGAAGTGAATGAGGTGAGTAACGTCGGTATCTCACAGCTGCAGAGCAGCATGTTTCAGGTTTGACCTGATGTTGACTCTTGAGTTTGGTCTCCTGCAGCTCACTCCGGTCAACTCCAGCGTTGGACTGATAGAAGCAACAGACATCGATTCAGAGCCGCTGTACTATCGCCTAGAGTCTGCAACGGTAAGAACAAATGTAACTATGTAGTGACACTGGACTGCAGTCGGTGGTTATATTCTTTTAGAGGACAACAATATAAAGAGATCTGAGTGATTTCGGATGGAAATACCAAAAATATATGTACGTTATGTTTATTTGTTAATCTATTAGGGATAATGCTCATTAATAAATGTTGACATTTTAGTAAATGATAAAGCTCAGCAGCTAATTTGCACTCAGAATCCTGATGTAATTAAAAGAGCTCTGTCTCTTAAGATGGTGGTTCCCAACCTGCAGGGTGGGACTCCACACGGGGTCCCTACGAATGTCTTGGGCTGCGTTCAGACAGCAGGCCATAGTGACTAAAGTCTGATTTGTTTATATTCTGATTTGTTAAGCATTAAGGCTTGAGGGTCACAAGGTGATTGATAAGAGGGAGAATATATCGGTGATTAAAATTTGAAAACTCAAGGTTGACATAAATTGCTAAAGAAGGTCTAAAAAAAACTAATGAGTGAACACTTAAATTTAGAATATTTTATATCACAATTCAGTTTATTTTTTGTAAAATAGAAAACCATCCCCAGTCCTACGGCTCTGAATGTGAGGGGGGGCTGAGTATACAGGGTACAAACACTACTACTTTACTACTACTATATTGTATGTTATGCCCCTGATACTGTTACCTCTGCAACAATCTGAGAAGAAGTCTGAGACCAAACTCTGTGACGGGGGGGGGGGGGGGGGGTTTGGTTAGCCAAAGCTATGGAGATCAAAATCACATGACTTCTCAAATGTCCAGTCACATAAGGGTGGAGCAATCATCAAACAGGAGGCACCTTGTGTAAAGACAACCCAATTGTCAGTGACAGAGTATATGGGGTTGATTGTTTTTATGTAGTTTGTATGATGCTTTGGCAATATTGTTACACATTCATGCCAATAAAGCTAATTTGAATTGAATTGGAGTTTTGACAAACTTGATATTAAGGATTATAAATTAATTTTTTTAAATAAAACAATCTTTTGGCCTATTGTGCTAATAAAATGTTTGTCCATCAAAAATTAATATAACTTTGTATTTTTAAACTATATATAGTATGGATATAATGTGGTTTTGAAAAGTGGGACAGTATGATTAACCAAATGTGGGACAGTTGTAAAGTACTTCAGTCACTCAAAAAAGTGCCCCACTACACTTGAGTGACTGACGTACTTTACAACTGTGGGTTGTGGGACAAATGTAAGTTGTTTTTTTTTTGTTTTGTTTTTTTACAGGGTTTTAGTGGTCTTATGCACAATACACGTTTAAGGCCATGGGAAATTGTTATTCTGGATGGAGGTTTGAAGGCTTTTTGTGGTTGTGTGTGTGTGAAGGGAGTAGGTGTCTTAAAATAAAAATTATATATTATACATTATAATAAAAAAAAATCTCTGAATTTAAAAAACAATAAAGCCAATCCACTTAATTTTAGTGGCGACAGAGAGATTTTCACACAGAGAGCGATAGCCAGAATCAGGGAAAGGATGAGAGAGAAGGCAGGATAAAAGGCATTGTTTGTGTTTGTTGTGAAGTAAAATAAATTAGAGTCAGGAATTCTGATTGTGCATTTAACTCTTTTTCTATCTGCATAACATCACATAGGCCTGTTATAACAGTTGCTTAATTTCTCATAATTGCATCAAAACTATCATTATCATATAGACAGACTATTTGTTGATGTTCAGTTAGCAATGTTTCATTCATCCATAACCGAGAGAATTACTAACTTAAGAAAATTCTTTTAGATTTTACAGGAATTAAGGTGATTTTATTTTTTTTTAATAATGGACTTTCAGTGTCCGACATTAGGAAGTTGCCGATTGTCTCAAAGAATTTACACTAAGAGCACCAATATGTCTGTCATTTCCTTCAGGAATGTGTTATCTGCATATTCTCTTTTGATTTGATTAGAACACATGCTAAACTTTTTAAAATGGTATTGGGTGTTGATTTAATACATTGGCTTCACGTCGCAAGATGCCACAGAATTCTGATGTTACTTTCTTTTAAGCCAAACACTTTAGGAACCGCTGCCTTCAGATTCCAGTGTGTTATGCAGGTGACATTTAGACCTATGTCCTATTAAAAACCAGTGAGGAAGGTGACTTCTCTCACCATCAGATGTCCCAAAAAAATCCTTCTCAGAGCCTTGATTCTATTTTTATTTCATTCCTCTTCTGTTTCTATATCTTTATTTGCCTGAGTTCATGTTATTGTCGTGGTTTTAAACGTGTCGACTTGTTGATCATGTAAATCGCTTTGAAACTTTGTTTTGAGAGATGCTGTATAAGAATACTTTATTATTATAATATTATTTAATCTTGTATAATATCTTCCTTTTCTCTGTCTGTTAAAGCAGGATAAATATTTCCGCCTGGAAAACATCAACACTCCAAAGATACTTGTTAAAAGCATCCTGGACTACGATGTTGTACAGAAGATCTCTCTGATTTTACATGTACAGGTACAGTAATCGGTAAAAAAAACAACATCAATGTGGCCGTTTCTCTTTTTTACCTTTACCTGTGAAATGTGTCGCATCATGTTGCAGGACACGTTCAATGGTTCGGCTTCCAACGAGCCCTTCTTCACATCCGTGGCCACCATCACGGTGCACGTGAAGGACATCGATAACCGGCCCCCGTGGTTTCAGCCTTGTTTGAGGACCAACTTAGGAATCGCCAAACTGTGTGTGAGCTCCGGCTACAGAGGCAAAGTAAATCTCACTGAGAAGGAGGCGAGTGTCTGAATTTATAAAGTTTCACCTCACAGATTTGTCCCCCCTCACTTTTATAGTTTCAGATTGGTTCTCTTACTAAAATTTCTCTGAACTTTGTCCTGCCACCACAGTCCAGATAAGAGAAGATCAGAGTTGATAAAAATATTGATAAAGTCATCTGTGTCATTACTTTACAATTAAGGCAAGAGGGTGCTGCAGCGAGAGCTTATCAGACTACCTTGCCCTACCTTGTTGGTGGATTCAGCTTGAAAGGAATAACTACAGACACTATCTGGTGCTGGAAAAACTACTTCCACCTCCACTGCTTGCTTTTTCCCCCCTATTCGCCTAAAAGACGCTTTAATGGATCAGCAATTAAAGATAAGACAGTAAATCACAAAACTCCTTGTTATAAATAATACAACATTCATCTTCATGTGCATCATTATCCACATACTTTTAGCCATGTACTTTCAAAGGCTCCACCAAACGTAGCCTTTTTTTCTCCTTGAATTTAAAGGACACAGCTCTACAACCCTCAATATCCCCACCAGTTGATTAAGGATTATTGATGATGGTTTTAATCCACAGGAGGGGCCGTTAGTGCTGGAACCTGGTCCGGTGTTCGCCAGGGACGGGGACAAGAACAGGAGCGAGCAGATCAGCTATAGAATACTCCGAGGTTTGAATTGAACATAATTTATTTACATGAATTATAGATTTTACTGGTACTATATAATATACTTTTATAAACCATCAGTTACGAAGTGCTAGATAAAAAGGAAGGATTTGCCGTGAAAATGAAACAAACAAAAAGAGTTGGCAGTGCTTCCTTTTTATGGGCTTTTACTTCCTTTAATCAGGAAACATTTTAAAAAGTTCAAATCTTAAAGGCCCTGAAAACCTATTTTCTCAATCGGCTCCTTGCTGTTGGCAACGGGGTCCTACACAAAGTTAGAACATTTGTTTTTTTCACATGACAGATTTCTGTCTTTTGTATTTTTCTCACTGGTTTGAAGAGGACTGGGTTCAGTTGAAATAAGGTGAAATAAGCTGCTGTTGCCAATCAAATCTGATCAATACACATCCACATAGTTCTGATAATCAACATTAATGGATCTTTTTCCAGGCTTCAACCATAATTGTTTCTTCTATAGTTATACTTCTTTGTTTATGAACATTTGATGTTGGACATTAACAACTCAACAAGTCCTCCAACCTAAACGACAACATAGGTCGTCTTAAGCAACCTACAAATACCATTCATACCAGCGTATCCTGCAATAGTGCCCCTACAGGTGGCGTTTCACTTCCTGACTGGACCCACGTTGCATAAATCATGTTACCTAATTGTTAAAGGGTTAGAATCCCCCTTAGGGTTAGAATCCCCCTTAGGGTTGGAGTCCCCTTAGGGTTGGAGTCCCCTTAGGGTTAAAGGGTTGGAGTCCCCTTAGGGTTGGAGTCCCCTTAGGGTTGGAGTCCCCTTAGGGTTGGAGTCCCCTTAGGGTTAAAGGGTTGGAGTCCCCTTAGGGTTGGAGTCCCCTTAGGGTTAAAGGGTTGGAGTCCCCTTAGGGTTAAAGGGTTGGAGTCCCCTTAGGGTTGGAGTCCCCTTAGGGTTAAAGGGTTGGAGTCCCCTTAGGGTTGGAGTCCCCTTAGGGTTAAAGGGTTGGAGTCCCCTTAAGCCTCGTTCACACTACACAATTTTTAGCCAGATTTGCCACTCGGTGAGCTCGGCGACCGTCAGGCTGTGGTCGGGTATAAATCAGCGGTTGATCGGCGGTCGCATGAAAACGGCTCCCTGATACCTCACTGACGTCTGCCAGATATCTGGAATAGTCGGCCGACTCGACATCCACATCCAGCCTACTTTTTCACCACCAAACACGTTTCACTCCTCTCCAGCTCTATCTGTAGCTCAGACAATCCCTGCTACCTGCATGTGCCAATCCATTCTTTCACCCAGATTCTTTGTAATTGTTATCTTTATAATAATAATAATAAACAGCCCTTTCATGTGCAGGTTCGCACATTTCCCGTTTCAAATTTCACTGTGTTTTCTTGACAAAACGTGGTCTCTGCCAAACTACGGGTGACAGAGTCCTTGTCAGCTCGTGTAGTGTGTGTCCCCTGTCACCAATCAGTCAGGTAGTCAACAAGTTTGTCAACCACAATTATATTAGTGAGGGTTGGCTCAATACAGACTCCTCAATGAGTGGAATAAACACTCTAAAATAAAATAAATAAACTGAACATTATAACCTTAATGAAGGAAGCGTTATGACAAGACTGTTGTATTGCTTATGTGAGCTGGTCCCTCTGAATGATGCGCTGAAGAAATTATGTGGCGTTTGCTTTTGGTCGTTTATGCTTACGGTGTGTTCTTTCATCATCAGGAAATGAGGGAAATATTTTCCAGATTGATGAGGAAACGGGGAACATCACCATGGCTAAAGCTGCTGACATCGTCGGCCCAATAACCCTTACTGTTCTGGTAAAATAAAAATTTTAGATAGATATTCAATGGAAAAACAAACAAATTAAGCTTTTTAGTTACTGCAAGACAAAGAAAGAATCCTTAATTTAAATTAAGAGAGGCATAAACTTGGATAAAACTTTGGTCTCATTCTGCCGGCACATCAGGCGTCGCAGGTGACCAACAGGGATCAGTTCGCTGTGACGCAGGTGACCATCGAGGTGATGAAGAAGAGCAGGAACCCTCCTCGCTTTGAGAAGGAGCGATACGAAGGATTTATCTACAGCAACTCTGTCCCTGAGAGCATGATCCTCAGAGACCGAAGCACCAACCGGCCCTTCAGGGTCCGAGCTCGGGACGAGGACTTCGCCGCTGTGAGTGATCTTTCTGTGTGTGTTGATTTTAATAATTACTACTAATATTGGGTTTTCACTGAATTTCAAAACTAATCTTGTTATGAACCTGTTTTCCAGATATCCTTTAGTTAATCGCTGAATTAGATAAATATGAAAACCAGCTTGTCACAATACTGTCCTGATTGGTTGGACACTTGACTGTTGATTGATTGAGTTTAAGTGAGCCAATCACTTACCAAGTACTGTAAAACACATTTTTAAATTACATTAAATTTAAGCACTCAGAAGATCATTTTTAAAAGTGTAATCTGTAGTGAAATGACAATGACAATCCTCATACACCATAAAAAGGCTCTCTTCCCGACCCTGATCAGTATTTCTATATTAAACCTGCAGTGCTGAACTTTTCTCTTCCTTATGACGTAGAGGCTCTGTCATAGTGAGCTGCTTGTTCACTCCTCCTTCAGCTCAGCTCTTGCAAACCAATCATTGCTTTTTGGCGTAACCTAACCGGTTCACCAGCGAGGGAACATCGCCACATACATCAGATGTTAAAACTCTGGTGTACTGCGAGTAGAGAGAGATTTGCCTGGCGGTGATCAGCATTGTGTGAACTCATTTGGCAAGGACTTGACATCATTCATTTATACGTTAAAGTCCCGCACTCCAGCTCTAACAATGGATCAGTATAGTTTGTGTAATGTGAAAAGGCATATATTGTAGTGGAAACCCACAGCTAGGCCTAATTATCGCCAACTTTGAGGTTCTTCATAGCTGTTTGGAGCATTTTTGCATCTTTCAGTTAATTGTTTTGGTTTTACAGCCCCAAGCTTTTAGCTTTCATCCGCATCAGGCAGCTGTTTTCAGTGAGGAAACCCAGTGGTGGAGACCAAAAATAACACCAAACTCAGCTCTAGCTTTTGTACCTCATTGCTTTGGTTCTCATCTATGATGTTGTCAGCTTTCAGTCTGTAGGTTGCTTTTTTAAGAAAACCACCTCAGACAACCAAAGCGTACTTCTGGACAGTGTCTGTGTCTAAACCTAGAAGCTAAAGAGCCAGATAATTTTAAACTGAGCTAAAAGGGCAAAATGGTCATCAGGTTAACACACCTGTGTCTCCAAATGAAAGATAATGTTTCTCTGTGTCCTTCAATGTGAGTTTGCTAACCCATTAGCCATAACATTGATAGTTGGTATCTATCTGCCCCCTAGTGGTCAGAAATCACTAAAATCAGCTTTAAGTGGCCTTCAATAATTTTATTTTTGCATTTTTGTGTGTCAGGGTACAAATCCAGATGTAAAGTATGAAGTTCAGTACAGCAGCTACGTCAACGTGACTGCAGACGGTTTTGTGATCCTGAAGAGAATTGTGAAGACGGAGTCCTTCGCGCTTCAGGTGACTTTTTTTTTTAAGTCAAGCACAATAAATATATCTTTGCTTACATTTACTGATATTTTAAGTTATACTTTTTTTTCTGAATACAGCTCAGAGCAGTGGACGCAACAACAGGGGAATTTGGAACAGCTGCCCTCTCTGTTCAGGTCATACCTGGTAAGATCATCACGGCTATTCTCTGGGATATTGACGGATTAGTGAGTAAATAGCCACTTTAAAAGCTGTGTGTGTGTGTGTATGTATGTGTATATATATATAGTGTGTGTGTATATATATAGGGGTGGTATCATGCTGTACTGCTTATGGTTGGGTAAGCTTAAGGCGCCACCTGAATTGCTATCTTATTCCATTTTATTGTAATACCATAACCTTCCACCTTTTGTGCATTTTTTTTATATTTCGGCTTTTGTTTTCATGGATTGTTTTTCTTTAATTGTATTTTGTCATCTAAAATTTTTTAAATATATTTTCCTTTTATGTTCATCGATATATTTATATTTCTGCTTTTATCTTCTCATCAGTACATATATAGATTATATTACTAGCTAAAACTTCTATTTAGGATTAGTCATGTGCCTATTTTTTGTTAGCTTAGATGCATGTAACTAAACTTTAAATGTCACAATGCATTAAATTATTTATATATTCAAATGAGCGGACCTGGGTAAATCCTAATGATGATGTTATGTCATTCATCTGTCCTCACCTGCAGCGGTGGCCATCCCGTCTCCCTCAAACGTCGGCTACCGTCCGGGCGACATGGCTCTTCTGGGTCTGGTCATGGCAGCTCTGCTGGTCCTCTGCATCATTGTGATTGGCTTCTTGATTTCCCGCTTGTATAAGGGAAACGCCGGCATGGACAAAATATGTGAGGTCAGTGAAGAGTTTCTCATGTTTTCAGCATTTTAACACCACAAATGCATCTTGAGGAATGTTTTTTTAAACAGGAAAGGGTTTGTTTGGTTTCCTATTTGTATTATGTGCTGTAAGTGATGGTTGAGTTGTGTGTGTGCTCATATTAAAAGAATTCTTAGATATATTGCATTTATTGCCAAGAGTTGGATGAGAAGATTAGTTCAGTTACCACTCAGTTATGTTAAGAAGTTAAGACATTAAGCTTAGCTTAGAATAAAGACTGGAAAGAGGGAGGAAATTTAGCCTTGCTCCATCCAAAGTGAAAATTATTAACACATTGAATTTTACAAAAATGTAAAACATTGTTTGTGTGTTTAAGTGTAACTGTACTGTCCCTTGATGAACAGTTTATTCATCCGTCCATTACTTCTGTGTTGCATCTCATCTTAAAACCACAAAGTTCTGTTTTATATTTGTTTGTGTACAGCAAAACAAATGAGATCTAACATGTTAATTATTAAAGGTGTTGGTAAACATGTTTAACTTAGGAGAGAGCCAGGTTACCTTTCCCCCCTGCTTCCAGAGCTTATGCTAAGCTAAGCTAATTGGCACCAGGCCCATACATGACGAGAGTAGTATGAAACTTGTCATGTAAATCTCGGCAAGAAACAAATAAGCTGATTTTCCAAAATAATATCTCTTATAAAAGGGAGAATGTGTCTCAAGACTTCCAAGGTAAGTAAAGATTGAATAAAAATAAGATTTAATGATTCCACATTACTGCAGAGTAGTTAGTTCAATAGAGGGAAAAATTACTTTTTAAAATCGGTAAAAGGTCTGAAAGCAAAGTGAAAGAAACTTTAATTCAAAGGTCCTTCAATATTATTGTTCATCTGACTTTCTAAAGAAATATTGAAAATAGCAGTCAAAATAAAAATTTTCCTTTGAAACTATTCATGTTTTTTCTAACAGTTTTGAAGCCTTTATTCTCACTGCGTTACAACAGCACCTCCGTACTGTAACGGTTTAGACGTCAGAAACAGACTCAGCTGTTTAATGCTGCATGTGCAAAACTCCTCCTGTGTGGCTTTGATGAATATTTATCAGCTGAAATCCACAGAAGGGCTCTGTGTTAAAACAGAACAAATGAACCTAGCTCACTCTCTGGAACCACGGTGGCATCTGTAACATTGAACAATGCCTCGATATCCTCCATGCTTCATTAACTGCTGTATTAATGAGGGGCCTCTCTCCTGCCTGTAGTGCCTGGGCCCCTGCCTGAAGTCCGACCAGCCTCGGTCCGGCCACAGGGACTCCCTGCAGTACACCAATGATGGCTTCCAGAATGAGGGCGACGCGAGCCGCGGTGGTGCCAGGCGCTGGAACAACGCTCTGCCCAGACGGAGCACCTTCCCTGGGTCACGAGGCCGGGTCATCCCCCTGGAGAGAAGGAGCCGCCACTGCTCCTCCTGTGGTGTCTACACGAACCACGTCCCCAAGGGGAGCCCCTCAGTGAGACCGTCCAGGAGAGGGAGAGGAGACGGCGATGAGTACAGCATGAGGTCGATCCTCACCAAGCAGAGGAGGAAGGAGGGCCAGAAGACGGTGTGGTTCAAGGAGAGCGAGGACTCCTCTGATATCGAGGTGGAGATTATCCCAGACACTGTGGGCCGGGTGGAGGAGGAGACTCAGGAGGAGCTGGAGGTGGAGATGGAAGGGGTTGTCAGAGACCCGGCAGCCCCGCGGAGAGAGTCTGACGACGGACAGGAGAGCCAAAGCGAGGAGCAGGACCGTGAAAATACCAGCTCAGAAAAAAAGAAGGCAAGTCAGGAGGAAGAGGCCTGACAGTAGAGGTCAAACTGGAGTCGGAGAAAAAGTTCATGAAACTCAGCTGTTTGTTTTCTCGTCGCTTTTTGGAGAAAGCAGCCTACAGGATAGGTCTCGGCAGTCCAGGATGACACTTCCATCATCTCTGGATAACCTCAAGTATAGAGTCAAGGATCCAAAAAGTATTTATTTTCTACTGTGAGTATCTTAGAATACAGTGTCTGAGGTAACAACTTTATACAATGTTTAAAAACACATAGTTCTCACTAGTGTTGGCCAAGCATACACTATGGGATGAGATTCTTCTATAACACTTACGGCAAGTTGACCACTCCTTTTTAAAGGTTAGTCTCTCTTTACAAAACTTATTTTTGTATTGTTATCATTTTTATTGGTAATACATTGTACTCACTAAATTAATTGCTAGAATTGCAGTGATATTGCTACAACACAGTCAGACAGGACAAAAGACACGTTGCAAACCCTGCAGGGTAGCTGAAGAGAGAAAACAAAGGTTAACAATAAACCTTCTGTTGCAAACATCTATTACAGTTTACAGACCCGCACATACCCAGTGTTTCAGTTACTTAAAACACACAATTTTCCTGTGCAATGAGGGATTATTACTGACAATTCAGGTAACTGGGTTAAAAAAAAAAAAAAAACAGGGAGTGGGAAGTGAAACTGGAATTTTCAGGTTCTGTTCCAGAAGTAAAATCCTATTCCCATTTAAATTTATAATAACTTAACTAAAAATCCAGCCAAAACATTACTAAAAGTATATTAGGTGGTTCATTCCATAAATCTGGATAAGGATGGTAACTGAAGGGTGGTTTATTCCGGCTTTAACAAACACCATTTCCCAAATGCTCCCAGACCATAACATTACATTAATTAAGCTGATATATTTTTTTAGCTAAAGTGATTTACAGTTGCTATATAAGTATATGCACACACGCCCCTGGAGCAACTTGCTGGATCTGTCACAGTGGGAGTCGAACCCTATTCTCTCACACCAAAGGTATGTGTCTTATCCACTGCAGCATCACACTTACGCCATCACTGCTTAAAGGTCAGGGCTCAACAGAAGAGGTGAGTTGAGGGTGTGCAATGACAGCAGAGAACAAGAAGAAAGTTGGAAAAATGACTTGAAGACAGCGTTGGTGAGGTTTAAGAAAATGGATGAAAACCAAGTTACGATGTCATAAGTTCCCGCTCTGCCACGCTTGTAAATTTTAACAGGAGCTGATATTTTGTCTTTGTTTAACTAAACTGAAATCACAAAGGTCGTGGCAAATGCTTAAGTGGATGCTCCTGATTTGAATGATGACCGTAAACATCAGATACAAGTCCCCCCCCCCCAACAAAGTTGTAACGCCTGTGGGAATCGTTGCAAATCGATAAGCAATATTGCTTTCTAATAAGGCTCCTTATTTATTTATTTTAAAAGGGTTTGCGAGGGTCGTGACTCACTTGATTATAGATTAATCTGCCCACTATTTTTTAACCAAATAATTGTCTATTAAAACTGTGACCAAATGTGACGTCTTCAAATCTCTTGCTTTGTCCAACAGTTCAAAACCCAAAACATTTTATTTAATCTAACACAAGACAAGGAGATGCAGCAAATTGTCACATTCGAGAAGTGCCGACTTGCTAATAAGTTATTAATAACTTCTAACACGACGTCAGCAAAAGTTAGTGAGTCGTCTGCAATTATCAATGTTAATAAGTCCAGTGGTCAAATGGTTTGTTGGAAACGTCTACCTGATGAACTAAAAAGACACAAGTGTTGTTCCTATTAACACACTGTAAAGCATTAGTAATTATTAACCATTAATAAACTTGACATCAAAAGGATGCCTTTTTAGAAAGTGGTAATTATCGGTTATTGCAATGTTGGATTTACAGGATTTTTATTATTGTTTTGATGATGTATCGATTAGTCAAGAACAGACATGCCCATCTGCTTATTTTGTTTGTTTCCTAATTGAATTTTCAGGATCTGTACTACACAGTTTACAGTACATCAATTAAAATGCAAAAAGTACCGTGACGAAAGATTTGATCTACATTATCCACTCCTACGTGTCACCGGCAGTCAGGTCAGGAAGTCAGCTGACAACCAACAGGCCAAAAACTGATGATTTCACTCTGCATACTATCTGTACATGCTTTACTAAACTGAACCAGAAGTGTCTGGAAGAATATATGTGAAGACAAACTTATTTACCGAATACTAAAACAGGTGGGATGTTTTTATGTGGACTGTATTTTATTGAGAATGTTTAGTAAAATAACTACTTTTATGGATAAATCTGTGTATAGTTTACTTTTTGTACATTGAAGTGATTGATGAGTGTTTAAGGGAATAAAAGTTTGAAGGAATCTTGTGATTGCCTCGCTGGTAAACTTAATTTTTCTTGCACACCAATTTTGATTTTTTGGGGGGGGGGGGGCACACTTCTATTTGGAAGAGATTTTTTTTCTTGCAGCAAGCTGGATGAGAACATTGATACCCTCATGTCTGTCGGTTCAATATGACACTACAACCAACAGCTGGTTAGCTTAGCATCAAGACTAGAAATGTAGGAAAATGGCTACAAACATTAAGTAGACAAACAGGTTTTTAAAGGGACGGAGGTTATGTGTTGGATTATTGGCTGTGAGCAGTCTGTTAACTGTCGTCACAATGAGGTTGCACAAAAAAGAGAAACATCTGTCCAGCCCCCAGTAAAACCCCAACCAAAAACAGTTTTCGCACTTTACGGTTTAAACAGATGTGATAGTCAAGAGCAAAAATATGGGCACCCCTGCATGTCTGTCACATGACGCACTACTTCTCCCAGACAACTGTTGCAATTACAAATGCTTTGGCATTTCATGTTTATTTATTGTTTGATTTGCAACAGGTGAGTTTAAATCGGGACTCCTTTGTAAAAGAGACTGTGTCTCAATGGGACTTTCCTGTCAAATTAAAGGATGCTTAAAATACAAATATTTCATGTCAACTCTCTTTTTCCATGAGTTCTGTGGGAGAGTACCATAGCATTTGTAATTGCAACAATTTTCTGGAAGAAGTTGTGCAATATGTGACAGACATTTTTAAAGCAGAGCTCCACAGATTTTACACATCGAAGTGCGTTTCCAGCTGTTGGGGAGTGCTAAATTTAGTATTGAGCCTTTTACTGAGGGAGCTGTTTGAAGTCTGTTAACTGTCCTCAAGTGATGTCACATGAATGAGTGTTGGTCGCAGCTAAGGACCACAAGTTAGGGAAGAAAGAAAAATAAAAAAAAGAGCTCTACTAGCCAAGAATTTACTAATTGTTAAAGCCACACAACACAGTAAATACAGATTACTTTAAAAACTGTTTATTCAGGCCAATCATAGGTAAGATACATCTTAAAGTCAGTAGTGGAGGAACAACTTCCTTTTAAAATTAAGTGTTTTTAAAACAAATCCCTGATTAAAAATAAACTCAGATGCTTAAAAAGGGAAGTACCAATACATATCAACGGATCCCTGATCATGTACAGCCATCACACAACCTATAAAGTCTCCAGTCTGTCTCACAAACTCTGCTGGAAAATTCCTCAAATCAGTGCATTTCAACTCTACACAAAATCTATTGCTAAATATTGTTTGATTGCAAAGCAACAGAAAATATGTGCAGCACAGATTTTTGTCTTTCAAAACTTTTAGCTTTGTACTTTAACGTGTTGCTCCAACGCAGGATGTGCTTATTTGGCCTTGGCAAAACCCACCCTGTTGTTCTCTCGATCAAAGACGGTGTAGTACTGGCCAATGAATACATCTCCCAGAATCCACAGGGGCCCGGCGGGGGCGGGGATGTCCAGACCCATGAAGCCGCTCAGACACATGGTCTTTCCGGCCTGACTTACCTGAAAAATTGGAAGGAGGAGACGGACACAGAGTCAGAGACAGGGCTGCTGAAATGTTAGAGAGGAATGAGAAACAGACAACTACACGCGTCTCTGAGTAATCATTCCTCAGACCTCCTCCTGCCAAGTGAAACAAAGCTGCACTTGTTTAGTTTTAGGTCGTCACAGTGTTGCATTGTTACTGCAGGAGGTCCCTGGTCTGACGCCCCCTGCTGGATAACACGCACACAGTCTCACCTTGAGGATGTACTGCTCTCCGGTCAGAGTGTACGACCGCCCGCCCACGCTGAAGGTGATGACAGGCAGCGTTGGGACCTTGTCACAGCTCACCATGTACTGAAACACAACCAGAATTTACTCCTCAATTCACACTTCTTTTGTTCGATTGATTATTTAAACTACAAACTGACATGAAGCTATAAAAAAAAAAAAAAAAAAAAAAAAAAAAAAAAAACACACACACACACAGGCATTTTGTAGCCGGTGTTTCATTTTTTCACAATGATAATATACACTAATTGTACAATAAAACCTGCCAATTCATTAAATTTTAACTCTAGACAGATATAATACAATAAACTTATTTGAATATGCATTTATTTCAACACACTTAAAAAAAAAAAAAAAAGGACCCATGTTTGTGTGTCTATAGCCCCTTTTCCACCGGATGGTTTTCCATTGAGCAAATCTGGGACCCGGTACCTAGTATTGTTTTGGTATCACCTCCGTCGAGGTTTTAGCAAGCTGAGGCGATACCAAAACGTGACAAGAAAACAATGCAGACAACCAATTGGTCAGAGAGAATCAACAACAAATCCTTCCCGCCAAACAACCTAGCTATGAGCTGGTGTGCAGCTTGTCCTTCATGTTAGCAGCAGCTAACATAAGCTCAGTTTTGGAGCTGAATAAAGCAATTAAAGTGTAAAAACAAATTATAAATGATTTGTCTCTTCGGCAAACACATGGACGTCAGCGAGCCGGCTACATTGAGGAGTACCATCTCTGGGTACTCGAGCTGGTACCATCAGGTGGAAAAGGGACTTAACTAACCAAGAGTATTTTCTTGCTTTAAAAGACAGGTTAATATTTAACCCGTTCCTTTTATTAGTATACTCATTCTAGTCTGTAGGGTTTTAGGTCAGGGATGTGAAGTTAGCCAGCTGTTCTTCTCCTTGCTTTGACTGGGACCAGTCAAGGATCTCTGTTCCCCAAAACATAGAAACCTAGACTGTGTAAATGATTATGCATCCCTTTGCTCGGGGCCAGACGTTAGTGACTGTCCTCAGAGACAGAACCTCTGGCCCAGCTGATTTGTGTTATAGTACGTCTGTTTATTCTCTTTTATTAAGAAATTCTTCAGAAGAAAACGGTTTGTTGTAACGCAATTATTTGCTCAATCCTTCGACAGTAATGCCACAATTTTCCACGACAAGCTGCATGTACAGAAAGTAAGGTCCAGGTTGAAAAATACCAATTTCACTGGGCAACTATCGATTATTTTCTAGATTAATAGTTTGGCCTACAATGTTATACAATATGTCATCAGAATGGCCTGTTTTATCAGCAGGTTGGACAGTTTCTCTCACCTCTCCCTGGATGAGTGGAAGGGCTCCAATGGCCTTCTGCAGGGCCTTGACCTCCGCAGAGGGGCCGGTGATCAGAGACGTCCCCGTGTCCACGATGGCCTCACAGCCGCTCTTACACAGACTCAGCTGGGTGCCCACTGTCATCCTGTCTCACACACACACACACACACACACACCACATGTTTCAGTACTCAAAGTGCAGTCACAGCATCACTGTGTCATGGAGGTTATGAAGGCCGCAATGTTATTTTCATTATTCTCTCATATAGTGATTATTTATCAGTTAACCAAAAATGCCTATCACAGTTTCCCAGAGCTAAAGGGGATTTCTCCAAATAGCTCGTTTTGTCCGACTGTCTAAATCTATTCCAACTATGACATAAAAAAAAAAAAAATAAAAAAAGTGGAGAACCCTTACATTTCAGTAAATATAAGTAAAAACGATAATGAGAATTAGTGTCTATTATTATTTTGTCAGATGACTGGTCTACAAATCTTTACTTAATCTTGTCAAAGTATGGGGATAAATCTTTAGTCAATCATAACCAGCGTGCCTGGTTTATTAGACTGATCAATATCATGACCTCCATGTTTTTTTTAAGTGCAAGCACTCACTCGTCCATGTGGATCTGCCAGTAGGCCTGGCGGGTGACGTTGACGTAACTGAAGTCACCACTGTAGTATTTGGGGTCGGTTCCTCCCAGCAGCAGCTCGCCGCCGGGCTGGGTGTCCGGGTTCCTGACAAGAGCGAAGACATGAACTCAAACAAACATCGCTGCCACTGACGGCAAACATCAGGAAGATAAGAGGTTGTTAAAGTAAACCCAGTATGAAAAAAAAAAAAAAAAAAAAAAAAAAGAGGAGTTCTCATTTGTGTAGTCCAGGTTCCCACAGTGGAAAAAAGGGATACATGTGAACCACACAGGTGCATTTCAAAAATTTTTCTAGTAGGACTTTGCACCTGCCCACAACCACTGGGAACTGGTTTGCTGACCATGGTGTTACTGAGCTTGATTAGCCAGCCAGCCAGCTCACCTGACCGGAATGGCAAATGGTCTGTTTTTGTATAGAGTCTTTTCTAGTCTTTCCGACCACTCACAGCACTTTACACTACCCATTCCCACACACATACTAAAGTGCTACAGAACATTCATTCACACAGCCACCCTGTATCTGAACCCAACAGAGAATCTACGGGGTTTTGTCAGGAAGATGAGACACCAGACCAACAAAACAGACAAGCTGAAGGGCGCCATCAAAGCGACCTGGGCTTCCATAACACCTCAGCAGTGCGGCAGGCTGATTACCTCCATGCTACGCCACCGTGATGCAGTAATTCTTGCGAAAGGACCCCCAACCAAATACCAAGTGCATAAACTGACCATTTTCAGAACCTTTCAACCTTTCACAAGGTCGACATTTCTGTATTATACATGCTATATTTTTTTTTGATATGGATTTTTAATGTCCATGGAGATTAACTGTAATCATCAAGATTAAAACAAAAAAATATGAAATATTAAATAATATACCAACTAACTGAAAAGTTTCACTTTTATGAAGGGGAAAAAAAACAAGGACATAAGCGTTCAGATTAGGGGCGTGATGATATATTTGGTTCATGAGACGTGACGTCACACAGAAGATTGAGCTTTAAACTCTTAATTTCCTGCATTCTGGAGACATTTCTGCACTGATTTATAGTCTAAATGTTTTTTTTTTTATATGAAGGGAAACAAATTCAGGTGGCAGGTGACAATTCAAAATATAATCGAATATAATGCAGGATGCAGTAGCTTTTTTTGGTTGCTTAAGTTTATTTTTATTTTGCAAATAAAAATTCTCAAAGCAATTTCATTTGTTATTTAACATTTCTTGTTGAAAGCAATTTTTTTTTTTTTTTT